TTTCAGCTCCAGTGAGCGCTGGAGCCCAGAACCCCCCCGTGTGCTGGGTGCAGCCCAGAGCGGGAGCAGCAGCGCAGGGAGGGGATCCTGCCCCTCTGCTGCGGGAAGGGGGGAGCTGAGAGCAGCTCCAGTGCCTGCAGGGGGGCTTGGGGTGAGGGATGCAGGGATGGGAGGAGGAGGAGGGCAGAGTTGATGGGGCCTTGGGGGGTTCTTCCCCATGAGGGTGCTGGAGGGGTTGAAGGGAGGAGCTGGGGATGCCCCATCCCTGGCAGGTTGGACACAGGGGCTCGGAGCGCCCTGCTCCAGGGGAAGGGGTCCCTGCCCTGGCAGGGGTTGGTGCTGAGGAGGTTTGAGGTCTCCTCCAGCCCCAGCATCGCATGGTTCAATGACAGCGACCGTTGCAGCGTCTCCCCCCCCCATGCCCTCTGTCCCTGTGCCCGCCCGCTGCAGGCTGAAGACCATCAAGCTGGTGATCCACAGCACACAGGGCGCGGAGGAGCTGCTCAGGACCTACGAGGAGCAGCTGAAGGACGTGCAGACGGTGCCGGCGGACCTGCAGGAGCTGGAGGCCACGCAGGCAGAGCTGAAGGTAACGGCGCCGGCAGCAGCGCGGGGGGCGCGGGGGGAGCTGGTGCTGACGGCGCTGCTCTGGTGCCGCAGCGGCTGCGGGCGCAGGCCGAGGGCCACCAGCCCCTCTTCAGCACCTTGGAGAGCGACCTGGGCAAGGCCAGGGAGGTGAACGAGCGCATGGTGCGGGGCCACGGCGAGCGAGACGTGGACCTGGAGCGGTTCCGGGAGCGCGTGCAGCAGCTGCTGGAGCGCTGGCGCGGGGTCCTGGCGCAGGCGGACCTGCGGCACCGGGACCTGGAGCAGCTGGGCCGGCAGCTGCGGAGCTACCGCGAGAGCTGCGCCGCGCTGCGCTGCTGGCTGCAGGAGGCGCGGCGCCGCCAGGAGGAGATCCAGGCCGTGCCCATCGCCGACGTCGCCAGCGTGCGGCAGCAGCTGCTGCAGGAGCAGGTGCGTGCGGTGCAGGCGGTGGGGCCGGGTCTGCTGCATCCGGCGGCGCCCCCGGAGCTCATCCCAGTTCGTCCCTCAGGAGCTGCTGGAGGAATGCGACCGCAACAAGGAGAAGGTGGAGGAGTGCCAGCGCCACGCCAAGCAGTACATTGACGCCATCAAGGTGCGCGCTGCGGCTGCGGCTGCTGGGGAGGAGCGGGGGGCCCTGGGCTGCAGTGTAACGGGACGTGGATCCTCTGCAGGACTACGAGCTGCAGCTCGTGAGCTTCAAAGCGCAGCTGGAGCCAATGGCATCACCGGCCAAGAAACCCAAAGTGCAGTCTGCATCCGACAGCATCATCCAGGAGGTGAGGGGGGCCCCCAGCCTAAACCGGACCCCTAATCCTAAACCTGACCCTGACCCTAAACCTGACACCTAACCCTAAACCTGACCCCTAACCCTAAACCTGATCCCTAACCCTAAACCTAATGGCGCCATCCCTAATGGCATCATCCAGGAGGTGAGGGGACCCCGAGCCTAAACCAGACCCTGACCCTAAACCTGACCCCTAACCCTAAACCTGACCCCTAACCCTAAACCTAATGGCCCCATCCCTAATGGCATCTTCCAGGAGGTGAGGGGACCCCCAGCCTAAACTGGACTTTGACCCTAAACCTGACCCCTAACCCTAAACCTGACCCTGACCCTAAATGTTTTGGTTTGGTTGGGGTGGGGGGTTTAACTTGACCCCTAACCCTAAACCTGACCCCTAACCCTAAACCTAATGGCCCCATCCCTAATGGCATCATCCAGGAGGTGAGGGGACCCCAAGCCTAAACCGGACCCTGACCCCTAACCCTAAACCTGACCCCTAACCCTAAACCTGACCCCTAACCCTAAACCTGACCCCTAACCCTAAACCTAATGGCCCCATCCCTAATGGCATCATCCAGGAGGTGAGGGGACCCCAAGCCTAAACCGGACCCTGACCCTAAACCTGACCCCTAACCCTAACCCTGACCCCTAACCCTAAACCTGACCCCTAACCCTAAACCTAATGGCCCCGTCCCTAATGGCATCTTCCAGGAGGTGAGAGAATCCTAGCTCTCAACCTGACCGTGACAGTGACCCTGACACTAAATCCTAATCTGATCCTAACAAGTGATCTAACCCTAACCCTAAACATAACCTTAACACACACCCAACCCGACCCTGATCCTAAACCTAACCCATAGGATCACAGAATGGTTTGGGTTGGAAAGGGCCTCAAGATCATCCAGTTCCAACCCCAATGCCATGGGCAGGGGCACCCCACACTGAACCACGGCACCCAAGGCTCTGCCCACCCTGGCCTTGAAAGGAACCCATGATCTCAATGATCTCAACCTCAACCCTAACCCTGAAGCCACAGCCCTTTGCCAAGGGGGGTACAGGGCTGGCCCGCATGTGGCCGCACCGCCGCCGGTGTGCCGCAGTGCCATGGAGCGCTGTGCTGTGCCACGGTGCGCCGTGCTGACCGCCGCGCTCTGCCGCAGTACGTGGACCTGAGGACGCAGTACAGCGAGCTGACCACGCTCACCAGCCAGTACATCAGGTTCATCACTGACACGCTGCGGCGCCTGGAGCACGAGGAGGTAGGAGCGCGGCGGCACCGCGCCGGATGCATCCCTGCTGCTGCACAACCCTGGGGCTGCTGCTGTGAGGCCGCTGCTGCCCCATCACTAACGCTGCTGCACCGGTGCTGGTGGCTGGGCGCTGGTGGGACTGGTGGTGGGAGGCACTGCCCAGACACCCAGCGCAGGCACACGGCAGCCGGGCGCCGGCACCGTGGGGTCCGCTCTCGGTGACCCCTTGGTTCCTGCCTCCAAGTCGAGGCGCTTCACCGGTGCCTTGCCTTGGGGTGCGGTGGTGGTGGGGGGGCGCTCATGGAGGGTAAAATAAAGCCCAGGATGACTCCGGCACCCCTGCACCAGGTACTCACCGCACGCATGTCCCCCTTGCGCCGAGCTGCTCCTCGCCCTCCTCTGCCTTTCTGATGGGACGTGGCACAGTGGCACAGGGGGTCCCGCTCACCCGCATGCGCCCGCATGGGGCATGCGCCCGCCTCGCCTGTGGTGCATGTGGCATGGGACTCAATGGCGCGGCCGCTGACGGGCCTCGGGCTGGCGCGTGGCGGCAAGGACGCAGCTTGTGCTGCTCCCCACGGCACCGAGGCTTCCCTGGCGGCTCCTTCCCCCCCCTGCGCCCTCCATCGCACCCCTCCTCGTGCGCCATCCCAGGGACCCGGTGGCTTCCGGCGCTGGCCCCTCTGTTGTGGGAGCCCCGGTGAGCTCCGGGCTGGCTCTGGGCACGCTGGGGCTCGGCTGCTGGCTCCCGGCCTCCATCGCTGCGGGCTCTGCTCCTGCTCCGTTCCTCTCCGTGGTGCCTGGGGCTGCGCTGCTGCCGCTGTCCCGGCTGTGTCCTCCGGTGCCGCGCCACTTCTGGAGCCGGCGTCCCCGCCGCCGGGACCCGGAGCCCTCCCCGGTGCATCTGGCACTCATGCGCGGCTGCATCCCTTTGTGATCTCTCTCTCCCCCCCCGGCGCTCGCACGCGGCCGCATCCCTTTGTGATCTCTCTCTTCCCCCCCGGCACTCGCATGCATGCGGCCGCATCCCTTTGTGATCTCTCTCTTCCCCCCCGGCACTCGCATGCGGCCGCATCCCTTTGTGATGGGTTTTGTGTCTCTCTCTTCCCCCCCGGCACTCGCATGCGGCCGCATCCCTTTGTGATCTCTCTCTTCCCCCCCGGCACTCGCATGCGGCCGCATCCCTTTGTGATCTCTCTCTTCCCCCCCGGCACTCGCATGCGGCCGCATCCCTTTGTGATCTCTCTCTTCCCCCCTGGCACTCGCATGCGGCCGCATCCCTTTGTGATCTCTCTCTTCCCCCCCGGCACTCGCATGCGGCCGCATCCCTTTGTGATCTCTCTCTTCCCCCGGCACTCGCATGCGGCCGCATCCCTTTGTGATCTCTCTCTCCCCCCGGCACTCGATGCGGCCGCATCCCTTTGTGATCTCTCTTCCCCCCGGCACTCGCATGCGGCCGCATCCCTTTGTGATCTCTCTCTTCCCCCCCGGCGCTCGCATGCGGCCGCATCCCTTTGTGATCTCTCTCTTCCCCCCCGGCGCTCGCATGCGGCCGCATCCCTTTGTGATCTCTCTCTTCCCCCCTGGCACTCGCATGCGGCTGCATCCCTTTGTGATCTCTCTCTTCCGGCGCTCGTGCGTTTTTCCCCCCTGGCACTCGCATGCGGCCGCATCCCTTTGTGTTCTCTCTTCCCCCCTGGCACTCATGCGCGGCCGCATCCCTTTGTGATCTCTCTCTTCCCCCCCGGCGCTCGCATGCGGCCGCATCCCTTTGTGATCTCTCTCTTCCCCCCCGGCGCTCGCATGCGGCCGCATCCCTTTGTGATCTCTCTCTTCCCCCCTGGCACTCATGCGCGGCCGCATCCCTTTGTGATCTCTCTCTTCCCCCCCGGCGCTCGCATGCGGCCGCATCCCTTTGTGATCTCTCTCTTCCCCCCCGGCGCTCGCATGCGGCCGCATCCCTTTGTGATCTCTCTCTTCCCCCCTGGCACTCGCATGCGGCCGCATCCCTTTGTGATCTCTCTCTTCCCCCCCGGCGCTCGTGCGCATGCGGCCGCATCCCTTTGTGATCTCTCTTTTCCCCCCCCGGCACTCGCATGCGGCCGCATCCCTTTGTGATCTCTCTTCCCCCCGGCGCTCGCATGCGGCCGCATCCCTTTGTGATCTCTCTCTTCCCCCGGCGCTCGCATGCGGCCGCATCCCTTTGTGATCTCTCTCTTCCCCCCTGGCACTCGCATGCGGCCGCATCCCTTTGTGATCTCTCTCTTCCCCCCCGGCGCTCGCATGCGGCCGCATCCCTTTGTGATCTCTCTCTTCCCCCCGGGCACTCATGCGCGGCCGCATCCCTTTGTGATCTCTCTCTTCCCCCCCGGCACTCGCATGCGGCCGCATCCCTTTGTGATCTCTCTCTTCCCCCCTGGCACTCGTGTGCATGCGGCCGCATCCCTTTGTGATCTCTCTCTTCCCCCCTGGCACTCGCATGCGGCCGCATCCTTTTGTGATCTCTCTCTTCCCCCCTGGCACTCATGGCGTGCGCTGCATCCCTTTGTGATCTCTCTCTTCCCCCCCGGCGCTCGCACGCGGCCGCATCCCTTTGTGATCTCTCTCTTCCCCCCTGGCACTCATGTGCGTGCAGCTGCATCCCTTTGTGATCTCTCTCTTCCCCCCTCTCTGTTTTCTCGCTCCCTTCCCGCTCCAGAAAGCCGCCGAGAAGCTGAAGGAGGAGGAGCGGCAGCGGCTGGCGGAGGTGGAGGCGCAGCTGGAGAAGCAGCGGCAGTTGGCCGAGGCGCACGCCAAGGCCAAGGCGCAGGCTGAGGCCGAGGCGCGGGAGCTGCAGCTCCGCATGCAGGAGGAGGTGTCCCGGCGCGAGGTGGTGGCCGTGGACGCGGAGCAGCAGAAGCAGCACATCCAGCAGGAGCTGCAGCAGCTGCGGCAGAACTCGGAGCACCAGATGGAGGCCAAGGCGAAGCTGATCGAGGAGGCCGAGTCCAGCCGCAGGAAGGTGGAGGAGGAGATCCGGGCGATCCGGCGGCAGCTGGAGAGCACGGAGCGGCAGCGCCTGGGCGCCGAGGCCGAGCTGCGGGAGCTGCGGGCGCGCGCCGAGGAGGCCGAGCGGCAGAAGCGGCAGGCGCAGGAGGAGGCCGAGCGGCTGCGCCGGCAGGTGAAGGACGAGAGCCAGAAGAAGCGCGAGGCCGAGGAGGAGCTGGCGCGCAAGGTGCGGGCCGAGCGCGAGGCGGCGCGCGAGAAGCAGGAGGCGGTGGCGGCGCTGGAGGGGCTGCGGCTGCAGGCGGAGGAGGCCGAGCGGCGGCTGCGGCAGGCGGAGGCCGAGAAGCAGCGGCAGATCCAGGTGGCGCAGGAGGCGGCGCAGCGCAGCGCCGAAGCCGAGCTGCAGAGCCGGCGCCGCTCCATGGCCGAGCAGGCGGCGCAGCTGGAGCTGTCGCTGCAGCGCGAGCACGTGGCCGTGGCGCAGCTGCAGGAGGAGGCCGAGCGCCTGAAGCAGCAGCAGCGCGAGGCCGAGCGGTCGCGGGAGGAGGCGGAGCGGGAGCTGGAGCGCTGGCGGCAGAAGGCCAACGAGGCGCTGCGGCTGCGGCTGCAGGCGGAGGAGGTGGCGCACCAGAAGGCGCTGGCGCAGGAGGAGGCCGAGAAGCAGAAGGAGGACGCGGAGCGCGAGGCCCGCAAGCGCGCCAAGGCGGAGCAGGCGGCGCTGCGGCAGAAGGAGGCGGCCGAGGGGGAGCTGGAGAGGCAGCGGGAGCTGGCGGAGGGCACGGCCCAGCAGAAGCTGGCGGCGGAGCAGGAGCTGATCCGGCTGAAGGCGGAGATGGAGAACGGGGAGCAGCAGCGGCTGCTGCTGGAGGAGGAGCAGTCCCGGCTGAAGGAGGAGGTGAGCGAGGCCCTCCGGCGGCGGAAGGAGGTGGAGGAGGAGCTGGCCAGGCTGCGGGCCGAGATGGAGGTGCTGCTGCAGAGCAAGGCGCGGGCGGAGGAGGAGTCGCGCTGCAGCAGCGAGAAGTCCAAGCAGCGGCTGGAGGCCGAGGCCGGCAGGCTGCGGGAGCTGGCGGAGGAGGCGGCGCGGCTGCGCGCGCTCTCCGAGGAGGCCAAGCGGCAGCGGCAGCTGGCGGAGGAGGAGGCCGGGCGGCAGCGCGCCGAGGCCGAGCGCATCCTGAAGGAGAAGCTGGCGGCCATCAACGAGGCGTCGCGGCTGAAGGCGGAGGCGGAGATCGCGCTGAAGGAGAAGGAGGCGGAGAACGAGCGGCTGCGGCGGCTGGCGGAGGACGAGGCGTACCAGCGGCGGCTGCTGGAGGAGCAGGCGGCGCAGCACAAGCAGGACATCGAGGAGAAGATCGCGCAGCTCAAGCGCAGCTCCGAGAGCGAGCTGGAGCGGCAGAAGGGGCTGGTGGAGGACACGCTGCGGCAGCGGCGCCAGGTGGAGGAGGAGATCCGGGCGCTCAAGGCCAGCTTCGAGCGGGCCGCGGCGGGGAAGAGCGAGCTGGAGCGGGAGCTGAGCCGCATCCGCGGCGAGGCCGAGGAGGTGCAGCGCGGGCGCGAGCAGGCGGAGCGCGAGGCCGAGCGGCAGCGGGCGCTGGCGCTGCAGGAGGAGGGCCGGCGGCGCGAGGCCGAGGAGAAGCTGCAGGGCATCCTGGCGGCCGAGGAGGAGGCGGCGCGGCAGCGGCGCCTGGCGCTGGAGGAGGTGGAGCGGCTGCGGGCCATGGTGGAGGAGGCGCGGCGGCAGAAGGAGCTGGCGGAGAAGGAGTCGGAGCGGCAGGTGCAGCTGGCGCGGGAGGCGGCGCAGAAGCGCATCGCGGCGGAGGAGAAGGCGCGCGCGGCCGCCGCGCAGCAGCAGGAGCAGGAGCTGCAGCAGGTGCGGCAGCAGGAGCAGAGCCTGCTGGAGCGGCTGCGGGACGAGGCGGAGCGCGCGCGGCGGGCGGCCGAGGAGGCGGAGCTGGCGCGGGGCCAGGCCGAGCAGGACGCGGGGCTGTCGCGGCGGCGCGTGGAGGAGGCCGAGCGGCTGAAGCAGCGCGCGGAGGAGGAGGCGGCGGCCACGGCGCGGGCGCAGGCGGCGGCCGAGGCGCTGCGCAAGGAGGCGGAGCTGGAGGCGGCGCGGCGGGCGCAGGCCGAGCAGGCGGCGCTGCGGCAGAAGCAGGCGGCCGACGCCGAGAGGGAGAAGCACAAGAAGTTTGCGGAGCAGACGCTGCGGCAGAAGGCGCAGGTGGAGCAGGAGCTCACCAAGGTGAAGCTGCGCCTGGAGGAGACCGACCACCAGAAGCGCATCCTGGACGAGGAGCTGCAGCGGCTCAAGGAGGAGGCGGGCGACGCGGCGCGGCAGAAGGCGCAGGTGGAGGAGGAGCTGCTCAAGGTGCGGGTGCAGCTGGAGGAGCTGGCGAGGCTGAAGAGCCGCATCGAGGAGGAGAACAAGGCGCTGATCCTCAGGGACAAGGACAACACGCAGAAGCTGCTGGCCGAGGAGGCCGAGAAGATGAAGCAGGTGGCGGAGGAGGTGGCGCGGCTGAGCGTGGAGGCGCAGGAGGCGGCGCGCATGCGGCAGCTGGCCGAGGACGACCTGGCGCAGCAGCGGGCGCTGGCCGAGAAGATGCTGAAGGAGAAGATGCAGGCGGTGCAGGAGGCCACGCGGCTCAAGGCCGAGGCCGAGGCGCTGCAGAAGCAGAAGGAGCTGGCGCAGGAGCGCGCCAAGCGGCTGCAGGAGGACAAGGAGCAGATGCAGCAGCGCCTGGCCGAGGAGACCGAGGGCTTCCAGAAGACGCTGGAGGCCGAGCGCCGGCGGCAGCTGGAGGTCACGGCCGAGGCCGAGCGCCTCAAGCTGCACGTGGCGGAGATGAGCGCGGCGCAGGCCAAGGCCGAGGAGGAGGCCAAGAGGTTCAAGAAGCAGGCGGAGGAGATCAGCGCGCGGCTGCACCAGACCGAGCTGGCCACGCAGGAGAAGATGGCGCTGGTGCACACCCTGGAGATGCAGCGGCACCGCAGCGACCAGGACGCGGAGAAGCTGCGCCAGGCCATCGCCGACCTGGAGCAGGAGAAGGAGAAGCTGAAGCAGGAGGCGGCGCTGCTGCAGCAGAAGGCGGAGGAGGTACTGGCTCACTGGGTCCCCTTAGCACTGGTGCCACGCAGGGACCTCCTTCCCCTCCCTGGCCACCGTCACCACGGCCCCGGTGGCGCGGGCGCGGGCGCGGGCATGGAGCTGCTGCGGTGCCTGAGCCTGCAGCCGTGTCCATCCCCCAGGCGCTGGGCTGCCGGTGGGGCAGGACCCCCACGCTGTGGGGCAGGGGGTGCATGGAGGCAGCGATGCAACCCCTGCAGGGGGGGTGTCAGGCAGGACCTGCCGCAGCTCCTGCAGTGGTGGGGTGACCCCCAGCACCTCTCTAGGGTCCTGCGGCCCATCCCCCCTTGATCCTCTCTGTTCCCACCTCGCCTCCTGACCCCACAGCGTCCATAGAGTCATGGAACGATTGGAAGGGACCTTAAAGCTCCTCCAGCTGCAGCCCCTGCCAGGGCAGGGACCCCTTCCCCTGGAGCAGGGTGCTCCAAGCCCCTGTGTCCAACCTGGCCTTGAGCACTGCAGGGATGGGGCAGCCACAGCTTCTCCCTTCAGCCTTTGTCAGAGTCCAACCACCCTCATGGGGAAGAATTGATTTCCTAGATCCACCCAACTCTTCCCTCTTCCCGTTGGAGACGTTTCCCCCTCCTCCCGTCCCTGCATCCCTTGTCCCAAGCCCCTCTCCAGGCTCCCTGCATCCCCTTTAGGCACTGGAGCTGCTCTCAGGTCTCCCCTTCAGGAGCCTTCTCTTCTCCAGGCTGCCCCAGCCCAGCTCTCCCAGCCTGGCTCCAGAGCAGAGCTGCTCCAGCCCTCACAGCAGCCCCATGGCCTCCTCTGGGCTCACTGCAGCAGCTCCCGGTCCCTCCTGTGCTGGGCTCCCAGAGCCGAACCTCGGTGTCTCCCCCCTGCTTCTCCTGCCCCATGGTGTTTGCTGCAGCTCCGTAACCTCCTGCAGTGGGGCTGATGCTGTTGGGTGACGCCGCAGCCCTGCCCTGTGCTGCCGCAGCGCACGTCCCCCTCCCCGCGCCCCAGCGCTGCCCGGTGCCGTCTGACCCTTCCGTGCCCTTTCCCGTTGCAGATGCAGGTGGCCCAGCAGGCGCAGCTGCAGCAGGAGACGCAGCTCCTGCAGCAGAGCTTCCTGACGGAGAAGGACGCGCTGCTGCAGAAGGAGAGGTTCATCGAGGAGGAGAAGTCCAAGCTGGAGAAGCTCTTTAAAGAGGAGGTGGCCAAAGCCCAGGGCCTGAAGGCGGAGCAGGAGCGGCAGCAGAAGGAGATGGAGCAGGAGAAGCAGCAGTTGCAAGCCATGCTGGATGAGGCCAGGAGGCATCAGAAGGACGCAGAGGAGAACGTGCGGCACAAGCAGGAGGAGCTGCAGGAGCTGGAGCGGCAGCGGCAGCACCAGGAGAAGCTCCTGGAAGAGGAGAACCAGAAGCTGCGGGAGAGGCTGGAGCGGATGCAGGAGGAGTACAGGGCGGCACTGGCGCAGACGCGGGAGATCATGATCCAGACTGACGACCTGCCCGGGGAGGCCGCGGCGCAGCCGCACGCCCAAGCCGTGCCCAACGGCAGGGATGCGGTGGATGGGCTGGCGCACGATGGCGAGCCCGAGCTGGCCTTCGATGGCATCCGGCAGAAGGTGCCGGCGGTGAAGCTGGTGGAGGCCGGCGTCCTGAGCCAGGAGAGCCTGGAGCAGCTGGTGAAGGGCACCGTGAGCGTGGGAGAGCTGGCGCAGAGGGACGAGGTCAGGAGGTACCTGCAGGGCCAGAGCAGCGTCGCGGGGGTGCTGCTCAAGCCCACCAATGAGAAGATGAGCATCTATGAGGCCATGAAGCAGAAGCTGCTGAGCCCGGGCACGGCGCTGGCGCTGCTGGAGGCTCAGGCCGCCTCCGGCTTCATCATCGACCCGGTGCGGAACGCGCGGCTCTCGGTGAGCGAGGCCGTGCGGGAGGGCGTCATCGGGCCCGAGCTGCACCACAAGATGCTGGCGGCGGAGCGGGCGGTCACCGGCTACAAGGACCCCTACACCGGCGACCGCATCTCCCTCTTCCAGGCCATGCGGAAGGAGCTCATCGTCAAGGAGCACGGCATCCGCCTGCTCGAGGCCCAGATCGCCACCGGAGGCATCATCGACCCCGTGCACAGCCACCGCCTGCCCGTGGAGGCTGCCTACAAGCGCGGGTACTTCGATGAGGAGATGAACCGGACCCTCTCCGACCCCAGCGACGACACCAAGGGCTTCTTCGACCCCAACACCCACGAGAACCTCACCTACGTGCAGCTGCTGCAGCGCTGCGTGACTGACCCTGAGACGGGGCTGAGCCTCCTGCCCCTCACTGACCAGGCAGCCCAGGCCAGGGAGCTGCTCTACACCGACAAAGAAGCCAGAGACGTCTTCAAGAAGGCCACGGTGACGGCCCCGTTCGGCAGGTTCCAAGGGAGGACGGTGACCATCTGGGAGATCATCAACTCGGAGTACTTCAGCGAGGACCAGAGGCGGGATCTGATCCAGCAGTACCGCACCGGCAAGATCACGGTGGAGAAGATCATCAAGATCATCATCACGGTGGTGGAGGAAGGGGAGAAGAGAAGCCAGATGTGCTTCGAGGGCCTGCGGGCGCCCGTGCCTGCTGCGGAGCTGCTGGAGAGCAAAGTCATCGGCAAAGACCTCTACAATGAGCTGCAGAAGGGCAAGAAGTCGGTGAAGGACGTGGCGGAGATGGAGCCCGTGCGGCAGTACCTGAGGGGCACCGGCACCATTGCCGGCGTCCTGGTGGAGTCGACCGGGCAGAAGCTCACCTTCTACGACGCCCTCCAGAGGAACCTGCTGAAGCCGGAGGTCGCCCTGGCCCTGCTGGAGGCCCAGGCTGCCACCGGCTACATCCTGGACCCCGTGAGGAACCAGCTCTTCTCCGTGGACGAGGCGGTGAAGGCCGAGGTGGTGGGGCCGGAGCTGCACGAGAAGCTGCTGTCGGCAGAGAAGGCGGTGACCGGCTACAAGGACCCCTACACGGGCCAGACGGTTTCCCTGTTCCAGGCGCTGAAGAAGGGGCTGATCCCCAGCCCCACGGGCCTGCGGCTGCTGGACGTGCAGCTCGCCACCGGCGGCATCGTTGACCCTGTCCACAGCCACCGCCTCCCGCTCGACGTCGCCTACAAGCGCGGCCACTTCGACCCGGAGACGAACGCGGCGATGGCCGAGCACCGCGACGACGCCAAGGCTTTCTATTGCCCCAACAGCCAGGAGCACCTCACCTACGCCCAGATGCAGGGGACCTGCCGCCGGGACAAGCAGACCGGCTTCTACCTCCTGCCCCTGTCTGAGCAGGCCATCCGGGCGCAGCAGGAGGAGCTCTACACGGACAGCCAGGCGAGAGAGTGCTTCAGGAAGACGGCCGTGGAGGTGCCGGTGGGCAGCATGAAGGGCCAGACCGTGACCATCTGGGAGCTGCTCCACTCCGAGTACTTCACCGAGGAGCAGAGGCGGGAGCTCCTCCGGCAGTACAAGAGCGGGAAGGTGACCATCGAGAAGATCATCAAGATCGTGATCACCATCCTCGAGGAGGCAGAGAGCAAGAAGCAGGAGAAGCTGACCTTCAGCGGGCTGCGGGCCCCGGTTCCGGCCAGCGAGCTGGTGGAGTCCCGCATCATCACCAAGGCCCAGCTCGAGCAGCTGAAGGAGGGCAAGAAGTCGGTGAAGGACTTCTCTGACACGGAGGCGGTGAGAAAGTTCCTGCACGGCAGCGACTGCATCGCTGGCGTCTACGTGGAGGCGACCAAGGAGAAGCTCAACGTCTACGAGGCCATGAGGCGGAGCCTGCTGCAGCGCGGCACCGCCGTGGTGCTGCTGGAGGCCCAGGCAGCCACCGGGTTCCTGATCGACGCCGTGAAGAACCGGAAGCTCTACGTCAACGAGGCCGTCAAGGCTGGCGTGGTGGGGCCCGAGCTGCACGAGAAGCTGCTCTCTGCCGAGAAGGCGGTCACGGGCTACAAGGACCCCTACTCCGGCAGCACCATCTCCCTCTTCCAGGCCATGCGGAAGGGGCTCATCGCCAAGGAGCACGGCATCCGCCTGCTCGAGGCGCAGGTGGCCACCGGCGGCATCATCGACCCCGTGCACAGCCACCGCCTGCCCCTGGAGGTGGCCTACCAGCGCGGGTACTTGGATGAGGAGATGAACCGGGCCCTCTCCGACCCCAGCGACGACACCAGGGGCTTCGTGGACCCCAACACGCAGGAGAACCTGAGCTACACGCAGCTGAAGGAGAGGTGCATCGAGGATCCCGAGACCGGGCTCTACCTGCTGCCGCTGCGGGAGCCCGAGAAGGCGGCGCCGGTGGAGCCCACGCGGGTGTACACGGAGGCCGAGGCGCGGAAGGTGTTTGAGGAGACGCGGGTGGACATCCCGGTGGGCAGCCGGGCGGGCTCCTCCATGTCTCTGTGGGAGATCATGCACTCGGAGCTGCTGCCCGAGGAGCAGCGCAAGCAGCTCATGGAGGAGTTCCGGGCGGGCCGGGTGTCCAAGGAGCGCATGATCATCATCATCATCGAGATCATCGAGAAGACCGAGGTCATCCGGCAGCAGAGCCTCGCGTCCTACGACTACGTGCGGCGCCGCGTCACGGCCGAGGAGCTCTACGAGGCCAGGATCATCTCCCAGGACATCTACAACCTGCTCAAGCAGGGCTCCAAGAGCTTCCGGGAGCTCCTGGAGGTGGAGGCCGTCTGGAGGTCCCTCTACGGGTCGGGCTGCGTGGCTGGTATCTACATCCCCTCCTCCAAGCAGAAGCTCAGCATCTACCAGGCCCTGAAGAAGGGGCTGATCAACTCAGAGGTGGCCCGTTCCCTCCTGGAGGCCCAGGCCGCCACTGGCTTCATGATCGACCCCATAAGGAACGAGATGCTGACCGTCGACGAGGCCGTCAGGAAAGGCGTGGTGGGGCCCGAGATCCACGACCGGCTCCTGTCGGCCGAGCGGGCCGTGACGGGGTACAGGGACCCCTACAGCGAGCAGAAGATCTCCATCTTCCAGGCCATGAAGAAGGAGCTCGTTCCCAGCGACGAGGCCCTCAAGCTCCTGGACGCCCAGATCGCCACCGGCGGCGTCATCGACCCGCACCTGGGCTTCCACCTGCCCCTGGAGGTGGCCTCGCAGCGGGGCTTCATCAACAAGGACACGTACGACACGCTGTCGGAGCCCAGCGAGGTGCGCAGCTACGTGGACCCCTCCACCGAGGAGAAGCTGAGCTACGCGCAGCTGCTGAAGCGGTGCCGGCGCGACGAGGGCAGCGGGCTCCTGCTGCTCCCGCTCTGCGACGCTCGGAAGCTCACGTTCCGCGGCCTGCGCAAGCAGATCACGGTGGAGGAGCTGGTGCGCTCGCAGGTGATGGACGAGGCCACGGCGCAGCGCCTGCAGGAGGGGCTCACCTCCGTCGAGGAGGTCTCCAAGGACCTCAAGAAGTTCCTGGAGGGCACCAGCTGCATCGCCGGTGTCTTCGTGGACTCCACCAAGGAGCGGCTCTCCGTGTACCAGGCCATGAAGAAGGGCATCATCCGGCCCGGCACCGCCTTCGAGCTCCTGGAGGCGCAAGCGGCCACGGGCTACGTCATCGACCCCATCAAGGGGCTGAAGCTGACGGTGGAGGAGGCCGTTCGCATGGGCATCGTGGGCCCCGAGTTCAAGGACAAGCTGCTCTCCGCGGAGAGGGCCGTCACCGGCTACCGGGACCCCTACTCCGGGAAGCTCATCTCCCTCTTCCAGGCCATGAAGAAGGGGCTGATCCTGAAGGACCACGGCATCCGCCTGCTGGAGGCCCAGATCGCCACCGGCGGCATCATCGACCCCGAGGAGAGCCACCGCCTGCCCGTGGAGGTGGCCTACAGGAGGGGCCTCTTCGACGAGGAGATGAACGAGATCCTGCTGGACCCCAGCGACGACACCAAGGGCTTCTTCGACCCCAACACGGAGGAGAACCTCACCTACCTGCAGCTCATGGAGCGCTGCATCACGGACCCGGAGACCGGCCTCTGCCTCCTGCCCCTGAAGGAGAAGAAGCGGGAGAGGAAGACGTCCTCCAAGTCCTCGGTGCGCAAGCGCAGGGTGGTCATCGTTGACCCGGAGACGGGCAAGGAGATGTCCGTGTACGAGGCCTACCGCAAGGGCCTCATCGACCACCAGACGTACCTGGAGCTCTCGGAGCAGGAGTGCGAGTGGGAGGAGATCACCACCTCCTCCTCCGACGGCGTCGTGAAGTCCATGATCATCGACCGGCGCTCGGGGCGCCAGTACGACATCGACGACGCCATCGGCAAGGGCCTCATCGACCAGTCGGCGCTGGACCAGTACCGCGCGGGCACGCTCTCCATCACCGAGTTCGCGGACATGCTCTCGGGCAACATGGGCGGCTTCCGCTCGCGCTCGTCCTCCGTGGGCTCCTCCTCTTCCTACGGCGTGAGCCCGGCTCCGGTGAGGACGCAGATATCCCCGTGGAGCGACCCGACCGAGGAGACGGGGCCGGTGGCCGGCATCCTGGACACAGACACCCTGGAGAAGGTGTCCATCACCGAGGCCATGCGCCGCAACCTGGTGGACAACATCACGGGGCAGCGGCTGCTGGAGGCTCAGGCCTGCACCGGGGGCATCATCGACCCCATCACCGGCGACAGGTGCACCGTGGCCGACGCCGTCACCAAGGGCCTGGTGGACAAGATCATGGTGGACCGCATCAACCTGGCGCAGAAAGCCTTCTACGGCTTCGAGGACCCGCGCACCAAGACGCGGATGTCGGCGGCGCAGGCGCTCAAGAAGGGCTGGCTCTACTACGAGGCCGGGCAGCGGTTCCTGGAGGTGCAGTACCTGACGGGGGGGCTCATCGAGCCCGACGCCGAGGGCCGCGTGGGCCTGGACGAGGCGCTGCAGAAAGGCACCATCGACGCGCGCACGGCGCAGAAGCTGCGCGACGTCAGCACCTACTCCAAGTACCTCACGTGCCCCAAGACCAAGCTCAAGATCTCCTACAAGGACGCCATGGACCGCAGCATGGTGGAGGACGGCACCGGCCTGCGCCTCCTCGAGGCCTCCTCCCACTCCAGCAAGGGCTACTACAGCCCCTACAACGTCAGCAGCGCCGGCTCCACCTCCGGCTCCCGCTCCGGCTCCCGCACCGGCTCCCGCTCTGGCTCCCGGCGCGGCAGCTTTGACGCCACCGGCTCCGGCTTCTCCATGACCTTCTCTTCCTCCTCGTACTCCTCCTCGAGCTTCGGGCGCCGATACACCGCGGCTGCCACGGGGGCAGCGGCTGCCGTCGCCCCCGCCGCGCTCCGCAGCTGCGGGACGGAGGCGAGCGTGGAGCGCGCCGGGACGCACCGGCTGCCGCTGCGCGTGGCCTGACCCGCCGGCCCCTGCGTGAGGAACCCGCTGCCTGCTCGCTCCGCATGTGGCAACGCTGCTGCTGCTCCCTAGGACTGATTCCTGTTTCTGGTTGAACGTGGTGATGACCTGCCAGAGCCAGCCCTGCCTGAGCCAAAACTAACCCCTGAACCCAGCGTAGCCGGGGGGGTGTGCACTGAGAGAGACATCACCCGGCCCCTCACCGCGCCCGCCCTGTGGCGTGGCCTGGCAGGGCTGCAAACCAGGAAACGCAACAGAACATAGGAAAACCAATAGGAAAACCAACAGGAAAACCAACAGGAAAACCAACAGGAAACCAGGCAAACCAATAGGAAAACCAGTAGGAAAACCAACAGGAAACCAACAGGAAACCAGGAAACCCAACAGGAAACCAGGCAAACCAACAGGAAACCAGCAGGAAACCAGGCAAACCAACAGGAAACCAGGCAAACCAACAGGAAACCAGCAGGAAACCGTTCTGTCTTTTGGATCTAACCACTTAGAGACTCTTTTATAATCAACCCGCCGCTTCACCCCACTCCCCAAGGAGGAGAGGACCCTTTCCCGCGGCCAGGCTGGCGGAGGAGGAGGACGCTGCCAGCACCGCGCACCCACGCTCCACACCAGCACCGGAGCTGCCGCTCTGCCCCGGCACCGCGGCGCCGCTGCCCCCACCGTAAGTGCGGCCCCACCGCGCTCCTGCCCTTCGCCCGCCGAGAGCTGCTGCCGCCTCCGCCAGCCCATGGGCACCGCGCTTGGCTCCGGCGCTGCGCTGGGTCCTGCCGTGAGCTCCCGCCACCGCCTGCTGCTGCTCCCTGTGTGCCCGGGGAGGGCTTCGTGCAAGGCCCCGTTCCCGATGCTGGTGCAGTTCAATGAGTTATTAATGAGTTATTAATGAGGGATAATGAACGAGGAATAATGAACAAGGAATGAGCGGGCGCCCGCCAGAGCCCGGTGCCGAGCTCGGCGCTGCCAAACCCCGCCTGCCTCCGTGCGCGGTTCCTGCGCCGCGGTTCCCTGACCGCGGGGGTTCTCTGCGGGCTGTGGAGGCCACAGGACCCCACGGGCACGGGGGGGTGGTGGTACCAGCGCGCGCCCACGTTGGGGCCGCTGGGTTCCTCTGCCCCTCGTGGCGGCTCCGCGGCGCCGGTGCCACCGTAACGCGCTCTCTCTCTGGCAGACGCCCGCCCCCAGCCCCACCGAGGGCGTCGCGGCGCCGCTGGGCTCGCTCCTCACCTGGGTCTCCGGGGTCGGCTGCTTGTGGACGGGCTCGAGGGGACACTGGGACGCGGCGGCGGCTTGGCCGCGCTCACCGGCACAGGTAACGCCGCCCTCTGCGGGTGTTCCCTCTTTGGAGCTGCGGGTGCTGCTGGGGCGGTGCTGGGGCTTCAGGCAGCGCCGGCTCCGTGTGTGCCGAGCCCGGGTGTCCGGGGCTGCCGCTCTCCTCCGGGCATGGCTCGGTGCGGCCTTTGCTGTGGTGCTGCTTGGCGCAGGGCGGGCGCTGCTGGCGTGGGCTCAGGGCTCCATCCCATGAACCGGTCCCCATTGTCTCATCCCATCTCTCTGTTCGCTCTGTTGTAGTGTGGCTGGATGTTCATCCCAACTCCCCTCACCGCTGGCACCGTCCCGGGGCCGCCGGCACCGCGCTGCAGGACACGGGGACGCGCTCCCTCGCCCTTTGCACGCACCAGAGAGCGGGGCCGGTGCTGCCAGAGCCCCCATGCAGTGCCCTGGCATCTCGCCGCGGGTTTCCGCAGCCCTTCTCCTCCTCCCCGCCTGCTCCCATTTGCCACGTGTCCACCGCGTCTCTCGTTCCTCCGCATCCCGTTATTAACATGATGATGATGATGATGATGATGATGATCATGATTACTCTCATTCTGTTTTGCTTTCGCGTGTGATGCCGGTGGCGGTGCCGCGCTGGGCCCTGATATCCCAGTCCATTGGCACCTCCATTCTGGGAGCAGGAACTGACCCCACGGGGTGCTGGCACTGCCACGGGGGGCAGCCCCAGCAGCAGTAAAGGGTGCTCCAACCAGCAGCACCTCCACGTGCTCTGCTCAACCCAGTGCTGCCCTGGTGACGCTGGTGCGGGTTGGTGCTGCCAGCTGCTCTTGGTGCTGTGGGCTGCAGTGATTGTGGTGCAGCACAAGGGGGCTGGGGTAGTGTTGGATGCGATGCTGGATGGTGAGCTGGATGTGGGGTTGGATGTGGGGCTGGATGTGGGATTGGATGTGGGGCTGGATGTGGGGTTGGATGTGGGGTTGGATGCGGGGCTGGATGTGGGGCTGGATGTGGGGCTGGATGTGGGGTTGGATGTGGGGCTGGATGTGGGGTTGGATGTGGGGTTGGATGTGGGGCTGGATGTGGGGCTGGATGTGGGGCTGGATGTGGGGCTGGATGTGGGGCTGGATGTGGGGTTGGATGTGGGGCTGGATGTGGGGCTGGATGTGGGGCTGGATGTGGGGCTGGATGTGGGGTTGGATGTGGGGCTGGATGTGGGGCTGGATGTTGGGCTGGATGTGGGGTTGGATGTGGGGCTGGATGTGGGGTTGGATGTGGGGCTGGATAGGGGGTTGGATGTGGGGCTGGATGTGGTGTTGGATAGGGGATTGGATGCTGGGCTGGATGTGGGGCTGGATGCGGTGTTGGTTGGGGGGTTGGATGCAGTACTGGATGTGGGACTGGATGTGGGATTGGATGTGGGGCTGGATGCGGTTTTGGATAGGGGGTTGGATGTGGGGCTGGATGCGGTGTTCGATAGGGGGTTGGATACTGGGCTGGATGCGGGTCTGGATGCAGTGCTGGATGCGGTGCTGGATGCGGTGTTGGATGGGGGGTGGATGCTGGGCTGGATGCGGTGCTGGATGCGGTGCTGGATGTGCTGTTGGATAGGGGATTGGATGCTGGGCTGGATGCGGGTCTGGATGCATTGCTGGATGTGGTGCTGGATGTGGGATTGGATGTGGGGCTGGATGCAGTGCTGGATGCAGTGCTGGATGTGATGCTGGATGTGGGGTTGGATAGGGGATTGGATGTGGTGTTGGATAGGGGATTGGATGCTGGGCTGGATGCGGGTCTGGATGCGATGCTGGATGCGGTGCTGGACGTGGTGTTGGATAGGGGATTGGATGCTGGGCTGGATGCGGGTCTGGATGCGATGCTAGATGTGGGGTTGGATGTGGGGTTGGATGTGGGGTTGGATGTGGGGTTGGATGTGGGGCTGGATGTGGGGCTGGATGTGGGGCTGGATGTGGGGCTGGATGTGGGGTTGGATGTGGGGTTGGATGTGGGGTTGGATGTGGGGCTGGATGTGGGGTTGGATGTGGGGTTGGATGTGGGGCTGGATGTGGGGTTGGATGTGGGGTTGGATGTGGGGTTGGATGTGGGGCTGGATGTGTGGTTGGATGTGGGGTTGGATGTGGGGTTGGATGTGGGGCTGGATGTGGGGCTGGATGTGTGGTTGGATGTGGGGTTGGATGTGGGGTTGGATGTGGGGCTGGATGTGGGGTTGGATGTGGGGTTGGATGTGGGGCTGGGTGTGGGGTTGGATGTGGGGCTGGATGTGGGGCTGGATGTGTGGTTGGATGTGGGGTTGGATGTGGGGTTGGATGTGGGGCTGGATGTGGGGCTGGATGTGGGGTTGGATGTGGGGTTGGATGTGGGGTTGGATGCAGGGTTGGATGCAGTGCTGCATGCGGGGTTGGATGCAGTGCTGGATGCAGTGCTGGATGCAGGGTTGGATGCGGTGCTGGATGCGGTGCTGGATGCGGTGCTGGATGCAGTGCTGGGTGTAGGGTTGGATGCAGCGTTGGATGCGGTGCTGGATGCAGGGTTGGATGTGCTGGATGCGGTGCTGGATGCGGTGTGGGATGCAGTGCTGGATGCAGGGTTGGATGCGGTGTTGGATGCGGGGTTGGATGCGGGGTTGGATGCAGAAGGTGGGTGGGCGCTACGGTGCCCATGGGGCAGCTCAGGATGGGTCCCACCATGGCCGGTTCCTGCTCTGGGCTTCCCCTAACATTGACCCCCCCAACCACCTCTCACAGACCTGGTACCGCCAGGAGCTGCCGGTGCCCGTGGGTGCCCCCCATGGCCCCGCCCCACAGCGTGGCTGGAACCCCCCAGCTCCCCATGGCCTGAGGGTGCAGCTCCTGTCCCCACTGAGGGCTCCTGGAGCAGCCCTGGGGCCCCTGCACCCCTCAGCCCCCGCTGCCCTTTGGGTCCCTTTGTCTGAGCACCTTCTCCAGGCGTCCTGTGCCACCGCGCATCCCCCCCGGCTGCCCGGGGCTCCCGAGCCCAGAGCACCTCCCCATGGGCAGCAGCGTCCAGATCAGGGCAGCAGCACCGGAGGAGCCATGGGGATGCTCAGGGCAGCAGCGCAGGAGGGACCTGGAGCTGCTGGAGTGAGGCCAGAGGAGCCGTGGGGCTGCTGCAGGGGCTGGAGCAGCTCTGCTCTGGAGCCAGGCTGGGAGAGCTGGGCTGGTGCAGCCTGGAGAAGAGAAGGCTCCTGAAGGGGAGACCCTAGAGCAGCTCCAGTGCCTAAAGGGGATGCAGGGAGCCTGGAGAGGGGCTTGGGACAAGGGCCTGTAGGGCCAGGGCAAGGGGAATGGCTTGAACCTGCCCGAGGGGAGACTGAGCTGAGCTCTTAGGCAGAAGCTCTTCCCTGTGAGGGTGCTGAGGCGCTGGCACAGGGTGCCCAGAGAAGCTGTGGCTGCCCCATCCCTGGCAGTGCTCAAGGCCAGGTTGGACACAGGGGCTCGGAGCACCCTGCTCCAGTGGAAGGGGTCCCTGCCCTGCCTGTGGTTGGAGCTGGAGGAGCTTTGAGGTCTGTTCCAACCCAATCCGGGCTGTGGTTCCATGCACTGGGTAGGGGTGACAGCCCCATCCCATCCCCATTGGGGACCCTGTGACAGGATGTGGCTCCTGCAGACCCGTGCTCTTCCCAGCTCTGCTCCACCCCGGGGCCCAGGCCCCATCACCCCCCTGAGCTGCACCGCAGCCCCTGCAACACCCGGCCAGCGCTGTGCTGCCGCACTCACACACCGGTGTCTGCGCCGTGAAGCCAGCGTCGGCTCTGCCGGTGAAGCCATGCATGCACCCCCTGCAGCCAGACCCGTGCAGCTGCTCCACCGCTGGCCCTGGCTGCAGGCGCTGGCAGGAGGTGCAGGCAGCACTGCAGGACACAGCCCACGGCTCTGGCAGCCGCTGGGGGGCACCAGCCCCAGGTGTGCGGGGTGCGGGTCCACCCATCCTTGCTCAGGTCTTGTTCTCGGCATCACCATCACCACCATCACCACCAGCACCATCACCACCAGCACCATCACCAGCACCATCACCAGCACCATCAGCACCACCACCATCAGCTCCGTGGCACCACCTCAGCCCGTGTTCACGCCTCACCTCCAGCTCCTGGCAGCGCCCACGCGCCCGTGCCCGCTCCTCACTGCACCCTGGCTGCACCGCCCAGGGCTGCGCTCGCTGCCGAGCACCGGGCACCAGGCACTGGGCACCGGGCACCAGGCACTGGGCACCGGGCACCGGGCACCGGGCACTGGGCACTGGGCACCGGGCACCGGGCACCGGGCACTGGGCACTGGGCACCGGGCACCGGGCACCGGGCACTGGGCACTGGGCACCGGGCACCAGGCACCGGGCACCGGGCACTGGGCACCGGGCACCGGGCACTGGGCACTGGGCACCGGGCACTGGGCACCGGGCACTGGGCACTGGGCACCGGGCACCGGGCACCGGGCACTGGGCACCGGGCACCGGTCACTGGGCACCAGGCACTGGGCACTGGGCACCAGGCACCAGGCACCGGGCACTGGGCACTGGGCACCGGGCACCGGGCACCGGGCACTGGGCACCAGGCACCGGGCACTGGGCACCGGGCACCCGGCACTGGGCACTGGGCACTGGGCACCGGGCACCGGGCACCGGGCACTGGGCACCGGGCACCGGGCACCGGGCACCGGGCACCGGGCACTGGGCACCGGGCACTGGGCACCAGGCACCGGGCACTGGGCACCGGGCACCGGGCACCGGGCACCGGGCACTGGGCACTGGGCACCGGGCACTGGGCACCGGGCACTGGGCACCAGGCACTGGGCACTGGGCACCAGGCACCAGGCACTGGGCACTGGGCACCGGGCACTGGGCACCAGGCACCGGGCACTGGGCACCAGGCACCAGGCACTGGGCACTGGGCACCGGGCACCGGGCACCGGGCACTGGGCACTGGGCACCGGGCACTGGGCACTGGGCACCGGGCACCGGGCACCGGGCACCGGGCACCAGGCACTGGGCACTGGGCACCGGGCACCAGGCACCGAGCACTGGGCACCAGGCACCGGGCACCGGGCACCGGGCACCCTTCACCCTCCTCGCTGCCGGCTGCAGCCTGCCCCGGCCCTGCTCTCACTGCACCCGCTCTGGGATGCGGTGCGGGGCCGCTTGTGCCAACGCCGCCATGGCCCGAGGGTCGCGGCGCATCCCAGCACCTTCACCCGGTGCCTCAGGTGCCGCAGCCCCATGGCGGGGCCATGGCATGGGCCCAGCATCCCCACTGTCCCCAAGCATCTCCTGCTCTCCCTGCAGCCCCACGGCGCTGCCGAGGCCACCGGCGCCACCGGACCCCCTGGAGCCAGCTTTGAGGGGTCACCACCGCATGGGGAGCCCACGGCAAGGTACGGCACGGCCGCAGCGCCGCAGCAGGGTCTGTGTGTGCATGGGGGCACTGCGGTGACCGGGATCCTGCAGCAGGACTGGGGCACGGTGGGGAACAGCCCTGGGGTGAGCAGCCCCATAGCCCCATCACAGCCCCACTGCAGCCCCATAGCCCCATCACAGCCCCACTGCAGCCCCACAGCCCCATCACAGCCCCACTGCAGCCCCATAGCCCCATCACAGCCCCACTGCAGCCCCATAGCCCCATCACAGCCCCACTGCAGCCCCACAGCCCCATCACAGCCCCACTGCAGCCCCATAGCCCCATCACAGCCCCACTGCAGCCCCATAGCCCCATCACAGCCCCACTGCAGCCCCATAGCCCCATCACAGCCCCACTGCAGCCCCACAGCCCCATCACAGCCCCACTGCAGCCCCACAGCCCCATCACAGCCCCACTGCAGCCCCACAGCCCCATCACAGCCCCACTGCAGCCCCATAGCCCCCCTCGTCACCATTGTCACAGTGTCCCTGCTGTCCCTGCAGCTCGCGGCTGGAGGTGCAGCACCGGCTGCAGGCCCTGCGGCACTGGCTCGATGCAGTGGAGCGGCAGCTGCCAGCGCTGCAGGTAAAAGGGAATGACCCGGCCACGGCGCCAGAGGGGAGAGGGGGGGACACTGACAAGGACAACTGGGGACGTGCCAGCACCGCGCCGATGCAGCTGGTGACATGGGCCTGCTGCTGCTGGTGCCATGGTCCTGCTGGTGTCATGGGTCCTGCTGTGCTGGTGATGCAGGTCCTGCACCTCCTGGTGCCATGGGTCCTGCTGGTGTCATGGGTCCTGCTGTGCTGGTGATGCAGGTCCTGCACCTCCTGGTGCCATGGGTCCTGCTGGTGTCATGGGTCCTGCTGTGCTGGTGATGCAGGTCCTGCACCTCCTGGTGCCATGGTCCTGCTGGTGCCATGGGTCCTGCTGTGCTGGTGATGCAGGTCCTGCTGGTGCCATGGGTCCTGCACCTCCTGGTGCCATGGTCCTGCTGGTGCCATGGGTCCTGCTGTGCTGGTAACACAGGTCCTGGCACTGCTGGTGCCATGGTCCTGCTGGTGCCATGGGTCCTGCTGTGCTGGTGATGCCGGTCCTGCTCCCAGCCCCCCAACACCAGGCTTGGAGCCTTTGGTCCCTGTGGCCGTGCTGCTGCTTGTGGCACCGCATCCTCCGAGCCCTGTGGGCACCGGGGACACTTCGGTACCAGGAGCAGCTGCGTGCTGCAGCGCTGCAGGGCAGGCACTGTGTGCGGCACCGGGTCCCCTTCCCATGGGGGATGTGCAGTGGGCAAGGAGCGTGCAGACGGGTCCCCTGCCCATGCAAGGGGGCTGCAGCCATGCTTCGGCAATGTGCAGGCGTGTGATGGGGGTGCAGCCATGCACAGGATGAGTGCAGCCATGTCCCCTGCCCATACAGGGTGTGCAGCCATGCATGGGGGTATATCCATGCACAGGATGAGTGCAGCCATGTCCCCTGCCCATACAGGGTGTGCAGCCATGCGCAGGGGTACTCCCATGCACAGGCTGTGTGCAGCCATGCACAGGGGTACATCCATGCACAGGATGTGTGCAGCCATGCACAGGGGTACACCCATGCACAGGCTGTGTGCAGCCATGCACAGGGGTACATCCATGCACAGGATGTGTGCAGCCATGCACAGGGGTACATCCGTGCACAGGATGTGTGCAGCCATGCACAGGGGTACATCCGTGCACAGGATCATGCAGCCATGCACAGGGGTACATCCCTGTACAGGATGTGTGCAGCCATGCACAGGGGCACATCCTTACACAGGATCATGCAGCCGTGCATGGGGGTACATCCATTCACTGGATGTGTGCAGCCATGCACAGGACACATCCTTACACAGGATCATGCAGCCATGCATGGGGGTATATCCATGCACAGGCTGTGTGCAGCCATACACAACAGTACATCCAGGCACATGCTGTGTGCAGCCATGCAGGGTGTGCAGCCATGCACAAGAGTACACCCATGCACAGGCTGTGTGCAGCCATGCAGAGGCTGTCCCTGCCTGCGCCCCTGCAGCCCCATCCCGCTGTGTGCTCCTGTGCCCGCAGCCGTGCGCTGTCACCTCCCGGATGCAGCTGCGGGGTCAGGTGCAGGGGGCAGATGCTGCAGGAGCACCGGGGGCGCCTCGGCCCCTGTGCAGTGGCTCCAGCACCCGGGGGTCCTGCGGGAGCCACACCCACCGGTGCAGCGGCTCCTGTGCCAGTGCCTGCAGCACGTGCAGGGTGCAGGGTGTGGTGGGGTGGGGTGTGTGTGGTGGTGGGGTTGGTTGTGGGGTTTGGTGTTGGTGGGGTACATAGTGCATGGCACATGGTGCAGGGTGCAGAGTGCAGGGTACATGGTACATGA